AATAAAAATAAAAATAAAAATATTTTCATATTATAAGTTAGAAAAAATTAAAATATAATTACCGACGGAATTTCCGTCGGAAATCCGTCGGAAAATCTAAATCCCGTTTTAGATTACTTCTAATTAACCCGGACAATTACTAATATATGAAAAAAATTTCCGACGGATTTCCGACGGACATATCCGTCGGAAAATACAAATCCGTCGGAAAAGGCATTTAGCGGCGGGGGTTTTTCCGACGGCTAAATCCATCGGAAATCCGTCGGAAAGTTGTTTTTCCGACGGATTTCCGACGGATTTTGCCGTCGGAAAAACCTCATTTTTTAGTAGTGTTGTCTTTGATCTTAGCGGGTAAGATTCTTGGTTTTTGCCATATTGATTCGGTAATGTGACTTGATAAACGTTTATCTAGATAAGCGTTTGGTAAACGGCCCCTTAATGAGAACTATAATCAAATAAATGAATATCAAAATAGTTAAATTATGTTTAAATCACATCTAGTTTTATATTAATGGTTAAAGCAAGAGTGTGCGAGTAGCGACGTGGTTTGCGATTTAAGATTGTGGCTAAAGTTGCGTGAATCACATGAGCTTTTACACGTGATTTTAATGTAAAATATAATGTGATTTGGCTGTTTTTTATTTTCTTAACTTGAGTCAAAAAAATTAATTAGTTACGTGTCTTAATTTATTGGTGGGACAGGTGAAAGATGTGATTTTGGGACATCGGATTTTTATATGTTTCTGATCTGGTTTTAATGGTTTGACGTTCTTTTTAACAAACGAAATCACAGTACGCTTGTATGATTTTTTGTTTGAATTGGATTTTTTGACATGAGGTAATTAAACTAGTCTGGTCGGACCAGAAAAAGAAACACAGGACAACGATTATTATTAGAAAAGGAAAAAAGAAAAAAAAAAGGATTTTTGAGATTTTTCAGAATTTATGTTATTAACTTATTTATGTTAATTTTTAGGGAAATCGTCCAAAACGATAAATATGTGTATGGATTTTTACAAAATGACCATATTTTAAACATTCATCACAAAATGACCAGTATTTTCGTCGTTGGCGAATTCACTTTTTTGGTACGAATGGTCACACATCATAAAGAGGGGACACAATCTGAAATGTGCCATGAATTTTGCTTTTTCGCCAAACCAGTGCTTTTTTGCCACAGTCTGGCGATTTTTGGAAATGATTTTGACCGCTACGCACAATCTAAGGACCAATTAAATACGCCATGCGGAAAAGTCAAATCGTCAACATAGAAAATTGCCACCTGTTGGCGATCTTTGATTGGTACGTTGACTTCAATTATTCTTTATAACTAGTATAGTATGAGTACTTTGATTAATAATCAGAGGATTGTCTATATAAATATATATTAATTGTTAATAGAATCATCAACAAATCGTATTCAAATAATCCGAAAAAGTTAAATAAAATATAGTTAGTGAAATTTTAATATATATATATATATATATATATATATTGAGAGAGAGATTTGTTTAGTAATAAAGTTGTAAAATTAAATAAAATGAGTAATAATAACGACGGGAATATTAAGGAATCTAACACAAACTCAAGAATAAAAAATACTCCACATAAAGATATGTCTCCTTCAAAGGATGATGTACATATACCATTTTTCATCCTCAACACACACCTTGACTTTAAAAACACAATAATTAATGAACTAACCATAAGATATGTAAAAAATTACATACCAAACTTAAAKACTTCAAATCTTTATAACCCAATAGATAAAACTATAATGCAATCAATATCACAACATGAACATACATAAAATTATAATACGACTAAACTTACGATAAGAACATACTTAAAAATATAATCCAATCAAAATCTCGATACAAACATAATAACATTCTAATACACTCTAAATTACAAAACAAACTTGCATAAAATCCTTACCTTAGATCATAATCATAAATTCCCACAACCCAAACTTGAAAACTTCAAATTTTCAAGACTTGATATATAAATGTTAAAGAACTCGAAAACCTGCAACCAGAAAACGTTTAACATAA